GTGAACGCCGGTGCGCGCGGCGATGTGGTGTCTGGGCTCTGTTGTGGTGTGTAATAGATATATATATATGTAAGTGTGGTGTGTGTTTTGTCTAGGTAACTCGATGTGGCCGGACTTCCTCAGTGAGAAGGTGCAGCAGTGGTGGGCGAGCAAGTTTGAGCCGGCGTCGTACCGCGCCTCGCTGCCGAACCTGTTTGTCTGGAACGACATGACGAGCCGTCGTCTTCAACGGCCGAGATCACGATGCACAAGGATGCGAGGCACGACGGGGGCTGGGAGCACCGCGACGTTCACAACCTGTACGGCATGCTGGTGGTAAGCAGGGCGGCAAGGTGAGGCTGGTGCGTAAGCGCAGGGCTCGGCGGCGTGAGCTGGTGGTAAGCGAGGCTGGCGGGTGAGGCTGGTGGTAAGCGAGCTGGCGGCGGTGAGGCTGGGTCGGTAAGCGAGGCTCGGCGAGTGAGGCTAGTGGTAAGCGAGGGCTGGCGGGGTGAGGCTGGTGGTAAGCGAGGCTCGGCGGGGTGAGGCTGGTGGTAAGCGAGGGCTGGCGGGGTGAGGCTGGTGGTAAGCGAGGCTCGGCGGGGTGAGGCTGGTGGTAAGCGAGGCTCGGCGGGGTGAGGCTGGTGGTAAGCGAGGTCCGGCGCGGGTAGGCTGGTGGTAAGCGAGGCGGCTGGCGGGGTGAGCTGGTGGTAAGCGAGGCTCGCGGGTGAGGCTGTGTAAGCGAGGCTCGGCGGCCGGTCGTGATGAGGCTGGTGAAGCGAGGTCGGCGGGGTGAGGCTGGTGGTAGCGAGCTCGGCGCGGGTGAGGCTGGCGGTATGCGAGGCTCGGCGCGGTGAGCTGGTGGCTGAAGGAGGGCTGGCGGGGACCGTGCAGGCTGCGGGCTAAGTGAGGCTCGGCGGGGTGAGGCTGGTGGTAAGCGAGGCTCGGCGGGGTGAGGCTGGTGGTCAAACGAGGCCTCGCGGCGAGTGCAGGCTGGTGGTAAGCGAGAGCTCCGGCGGGTGGAGTGGCTGAAGTAAGCGAAAGGGCTGGCCGGCGGTGAGCGCCTAGCTGCTGGAAGCGAGGCTGGCAGGCGTGAGGTTGCGTGGTAGGTGAGGCGCCAGCCGTGGGGTGCAGGTGGTGGTAGGTGAGGCTGGCGGGGGTGAGGTTGGTGTAGCGAGGGCCGGTGGGATCACAGATTTTATACACGTAGATCAGTAAACGGGAGCAAACAAAACCATTTCTAGCGAGGAATCAAAAGACATGAGCGCTGACTTCTTCTATTCTCCACAGCAAAAGGCGACGGCAGAGGGGTCTGCGTCTGAGATCCGGCGGCAACGACCGACCTTTCGTGCTCAGCCGAGCATTTCTTCGCAGGTTCTCAACGATTCGGTGAGTCGTCTATCGCTATTTTACCATACTTACCTGTGTCTGTGTGTGTACCAGTAAGTACAGTGTTACCATACTTACCTGTGTCTGTGTGTGTACAGTAAGTACCATTTACCAAAACTTACCTGCTTGTCTGTGTGTGTACCAGTAAGCTACAGTGTTTACCAACTGACTGGTCTGTGTGTGTACCAGTAAGTACAGTGTTACCATACTTACCTGTGTCTGTGTGTGTACCAGTAAGTACAGTGTTACCATACTTACCTGTGTCTGTGGTTACCAGTAAGTACATGCTTACCATACGACCTGTGTCTGGTGATCTACCAGTAAGTACGTGTTACTCCATACTTTACCCTGGTCGGTGTGTGTACCAGTAAGTACAGTGTTACCATACTTACCTGTGTCTGTGTGTGTACCAGTAAGTACAGTGTTACCATACTTACCTGTGTCTGTGTGTGTACCAGTAAGTACAGTGTTACCATACTACCTGGTCTGTGTGTGTACCAGTAAGTACAGTGACCATACTTACGTGGGCCTGTGCACTAATAAGCTACAGTGTCACCATACTTACCGGGGCTGTGCACTATTTAAGTACAGTGTTTACCATACTGACCCTGGGGGTGCCACTATAAGTACAGTGTTTACCATACTTACCTGTGTCTGTGTGTGTACCAGTAAGTACAGTGTTACCATACTTACCTGGGTGTGCACTAATAAGTACATGTTTACCATACTACCTGGTGTGGGCACTAATAAACAGTTTACCATCACTTACCTGGATGTTGCACTTAATAATACAGTTACCGATACTTACCTGGGTGTGCACTAATAAGTACAGTGTTACCATACTTACCTGGGTGTGCACTAATAAGTACAGTGTTACCATACTTACCTGGGTGTGCACTAATAAGTACAGTGTTTAGCGTACTTACCCGTGTGTAGTGTGTCACACGAGTTGTCGTCACACCAGCGTTTCTCGTCACCAGGTGCTGTATGGACGGGTGACAACCTGGCGGACTGGGGTCACCTGAAGGTCACGACGCCCATGTTTCTCTCGATCAGCGTGACGGGAATCCCGTTCGTCGGCGCCGACGTCGGCGGGTTCTTCCGCAACGTCGACGGAGAACTGCTCACCAGGTGGTACCAGGTGTGTGCTCGTCACCCCCGGGGGTCGGGTCGGCCCGCGGCCTTCCTGGGTCAAACGTCTGACGCCCGTTGTCGGAAATAGCATTGCAAATATTTTTTTAGATCATCACGTTTGACATGTTGTGACGATAGCACGGCGTTTCACTCGGAGGAGTTGCGACATTGTAGAGTTGTGATATCGTATTTACGATATTTCTGACGACAGCCCCCTGGCTGCCGGGGCGCGGGTGTGCCCTGGGCTGTCTCGCAAGCTACGAGTGTTTGCAATGACTTCAGTTGGTGATGTCTTTACTGGTTCAGTCATGGTATGGCAAGCATGCACTGAATAGGATCAATCAATCTGGACCTGCCAACCACTCATCTCTCTTTCTCTCGATCTCTCTCTTTCTCTCCTTCATCTCTACCCTCCTCTGTGTGTGTGTGTGCGTGCGTGCGTGCGTGCGTGGGTGTGTGTCTCTCGCTATCTCTCTCTTTCTGTGTCTCTCTCGCAGTATCTATCTCTCTCTTTCTGTGTCTCTCTCGCAGTATCTATCTCTCTCTTTCTGTGTTTCTCTCGCACTATCTATCTCTCTCTTTCTCGCTCTCTTTCTCCGAATCACTGCTATTGCTGACTATCTCTCTCTCTCTCTCTCCTGCAGGCAGGTGCATTCCATCCGTTCCTGCGCACGCACGCGCACCTGGACACGCGTAGGAGGGAGCCATGGCTGTTCACGCCCGAGGAAGCTCAGCGTATGCGGCAGGCGCTGCGGCAACGCTACGCATTGCTGCAGTACTGGTAAGATACGCACGATGCACCGCATCCCACAAGTGCGAGCCAGTGGTGTGGTAGCAGCCAGCGCTGTTGCCCCCACTGGTGTTTGCTTTAAGATTTTAGGAGCCCGTTTTCAGAAATAATAGTAGTGTTTTTTCAACGTAGTGTTAAATATTAATGTTAACGTATGTAAGTACGACTGTCGTGAGTCTGAAATGTTAGAGTCGTAACTTTTGCACAACACGTTTGTTTAGACATTTCCGGCATTTTAAACGTATGATGTCATTGCACCATATGTCTATTTGTGATGTTACTGACCATGCATCCCAGATGTTTTCAGTTTAGAACTTCGACTGCACTGCTTCTAGCCATATAATGTTTAGTGTTTACACTTATAAGTGTTAGAGGTATTTTATAGGGAGTTGGTGTTTGTCATACTACAGGCTTTATATTGGTCTCCCGTTCTTTCACCTTCTCTTTCTCTCTCACATACTATCTCGCTGTGTGCGTTCGTGCGTGCATGCATGCGTGCGTGTGTATGTATGTCTCACTCTCCGTCTCGTTATCTCAGGTACACATTGTTCTATGAGCATGAGAAGACCGGCTTGCCTGTCATGAGACCGATGTGGGCAGAGTTCCCCGAGGACGAGCAGGTGTTTGCAATGGACGATCAGTTCATGGTCGGTGAGTCATCCATCGTCATACTCGTGGCTGCGTTGCCGTGCCAACGTAGCTTGAATGATAGGTTGCTGACATTTCCAAACATGGTATAGAGGGCATGTATAAATAAAATAGCCAACACGTCGTCATCCTGAGCGTATATGTGTGTAGCTGACATTGCCAACTTTGGATAGATGGGAAGTGTAGATAACATAGCCACCGTATACGTAGCCAAAACAACCAACCTACTTGTAATAGTTATTATCTAGCCAATGTAGCTCACATCAGCTAACATCGTAGATTGGAATATCAGCCCATATGCTTTATAGCTAATGTAGCCACAATAAGTCAGAGCATACAATAGCTAACATAGAGGTGCAGGTCATATAGCTAGTGGGGGCTTATAGCTTACCTGATCATTGTAGAGTGAAAGGCTGTGTAGCTAATGTGAGGTGAGGGGTGTCCCCTAGCCATGGCTACGATGGGTGTTTTTGCACTTGCAGGATCAGCATTGCTGGTTAGGCCTGTGGTCGATTCTGGAGCCAAGGGTGTGAACGTCTACTTTGCTGGCGGTGACGATAACGTTGTAAGATTTATCGCATGTTTACATTCTCGTGTGTTTAGAATAATATTGTAATGATAACTACAAGTAATAAAAACTAATATATATATATATAATAATAATAATAATAATAATAATAATAATATAAACATAATAAATATTATCCAGTAATTTGCTATGTTAAATTCGTATGTAGCTGTAGTCATTGCACGTTTCTATCAGTGCATCTCTTTACAAATAATCTCTTAATATTATGCAATTATGTAAAAATCAATTGGAATATTTTTCTCAAATTTGGCATGAACCTATTATGACAATCCATTTCGAACCGTGGCAGACCGTTGGCACACTGTCATTGTACGACTGAATTCACGTTGCAAGAATAGATATATAACAACTGAACCCCTGAATGCTTTTCCAGATCTGGTACGATTATGACACATATCAGGCTAGGCAGTCTGACAACAAGGCTGTCTACATCAATGTTGATCTGGACAGGGTAAGTTAATACTAAAAACAATATTCAACATCGCCTTTTGAGATTAAGCAAAAGTTATAAGAACCTGGTGAAACTATCATAAGTCGAAAATTAGTCGTTCGTTAGCTAGTGTAAGAGTAAAATATTTTTTCCACGCTCTAGAAATTGACCCAGTGGAACTAGATCCCTGAGTGCCTACCCATGTCTCCTGTATAGTTTTGTGTGACTTGTTACTAATCTGTGTATCTGTCATGGTTGGTGACAACCAAAGCTAAATTTGTCATTTGCGCTGTGCAAGAGGAATATCTTATCACGTGTTGGATAGGATTAGTTTAACAGGATAATTTTGATCTATTGTTTATTACAATTTTAGGGTCATTCATATTCATTAACATTATTGTGTGTTTATTGCCTCAAGATTTAGTAGGAATTACACACACACACACAACTGTTATAGTTGCATGTCACCTGGAATGGGTTAGGGTTAGAGTAATTAGTCTAATAGCTAGTTAAAATCAATTAGCTTTCTTGTTATGTGTTGATATGGTTGTGCATATAGCACTCACTCTCATTGCTCGCGATTCAGATTCCTGTCTACCAGAAGGGTGGCACAATCATTGCAAAGAAGGACAGGATTCGGCGGGCGGCCATGTTGGCCCTGCAGGATCCATACACGCTCATCGTCGCACTAGATAGCCACGTATGTGCTGCCACGCTGTTCGCTTGTTTGCTTGTTGACCGGGTTGTTAGAAAAGATTTATAGCTACATGTCGTAAGAACATGAATAATATATAATTTTATATTTATATCTTGAGGATATTACTTGTACAGAATTAGTGCTATTTACACGCTATCATTCTACATATCTTCATTTACCTTTGTGTAAAAGGATGATTTGTTGTAATACATATACACAAATACATACACATATGTACATATACACTCATGTATGTGCGTGGGTGCATATGTGTGCCTGCACATGTTCGTGCGTGTATATCTATTTATAGTAAATGTTTTTGTATATTATAGCAAAAAGCAGAAGGTACGCTATATATGGACGATGGATTCTCATTCCAATACCAAAAGGGAGCATTCAACTATAGGCGAATTGAATTCGATGGCATGGAACTAAAATCAACGTATGTCGCTCTATATTCCCAGCACGAGTTGAATATAGTAGCTAAACTAGTGAGTTGGCAGGATGAGCGTTGTATCTACTGCACCTATCACTACAGTTAGAAATTGCAGTGGCCTTGAGATACAGGCTACCATATATACAGACTACCTACTATATGGTCTTGGTGACACGGTAGCTAGCTATATACACAGCTTCATGTAAGTTAACCTGTGGTGAATTGCCATGGACCCATTGTCAGCAACGTTATAAATAGGATTATTGTCTAAATGTCTAAACTTGTCATAATTCTTGGACGTCACTTCAAGTAAAAAGGTATGACATTTTAGACTAATGATGTCATAACTATTTCCGATGCTTCTGACAACCGGCTTCAGAATCACATAGTTACATTCCAGGATTTAAAATAACATGTACCTATGCCTTGCCCAGGGGCCCTTTAACGTTTAACCAGCAATGAAAGGTAGTTAAATCAACAATCACTATTCTTCATAGAACAGCTGCCCATCCCAGTTTGCTATTGTGTCAACGATGTTTGAAACATATTAGATAAGTTGAGGTTACCTATGTAATAATGTACTAATACATTCTAATGCAAATTTTATTTATTTTGCGCGGATGCAGAATGATTGATGGCGATGCGGACTATTCGACCAAGTCCTGGCTCGAGAGAGTGGTCATCATGGGACTCCAGAAGAAACCACGAAGCATTCTCGCAAACTCACAACGTAAGCATGTGTTCAGTATTCATCTTGCCTTTACTGACTCGTACTGTACTATTGTACGTTGATGTGCATTCTGAAGTCTCAGCTATATTGTGCTGTCTTACCTGTCTCTGTCTCATCCTTCTTTTTGTGTACAGGACTATTTCCCTCTCACTCCAGCCTCTGCCACGTCTTCCTCCTTGTATAGACATCTCTCCTGCTCTCTCTCTCGCTCTCTCTCTCTCTCTCTCTCTCTCTCTCTCTCTCTCTCTCTCTCTTTCTCTCTTATTCTCTGTTTCTCTCTCTCTCTCTCTCTCTCTCTCTCTCTCTCTCTCTCTCTCTC